AGTATAATAAATGCTTGCTGTATACATCATATAAATATATAAAATGTCAGAGAATCCAACTTTTGACAGATCAAAGTGCCAAATGTAGACTGACGTTCAAATAGTTTACTGATAGACAAGTCAAACTTATTATTAAAGTATTAGTGTTTGTATGGCAAAGGCTGGTGAATGTAGGTGAAGATGGGGTCTGGAAGCTTCAGGAGGTCGCTCTTGAAATTATCAAAGACATAATCAGTCAAGGAAGAAAATATAAGAAAAACAAAAGTATCATAAAATGAATATACTGCAGAGAGATAATTCCAAAATTAGACTCAACTGTTTCAAAATTTCATGCCAACAAATTATATCTTTTTTTTTGTTGTTCTTTGTGGGTCCTTTGGGACTTTGAGATGTGTTAGAAATAATAAAAGATAGACACTGTGATTGAAGGAATGATTTGAAGGGTTGAAAAACAACAGAGATTTTGAAGGTCCCAACTCTGAAAATAATTTTTAAAAATTCAAAAAATACAAGAAAATATTTAAAGAAAAAATAAAAACTTTAAAAAGTGAAAATAAATGAAAAGAATGAGAGATTTGTCTTGGGTTAACAACTCCTAACTTATGTGAAACAATATGAATGTTTAATGTCCTATGCCAGCAGCCGGCCAAGAAATCTTTCTATCTGATAGGGAGTAAATATTACAGAAAAAAAAAAGATCCTTTGTTTTTGTTTTTTTTTCATCTCAGGGTTTTAACCCTATACCCAATGTTTCGCACTCTAACTACCCAATTCCCGTGTTCCAAACTAGATCGACAATCAATTTCTGCTTTTCCTTCTAATAAAACTGAGCTCCTTTTCCCCTAATGTTTATTTAGGTGTTTCAACTTTCATTGTTGATAACTTCTTTATCTAGCTGTTGTCATCTTTCTAAATTCTCTTCATTTCCTGTCTTCTCAAACATGACATTACACTTTTCAACAGCTGTGCCTTGAATATATACAGGGTGTGGCAAAAATACCTCCCACATTTTAATCTGTTACCTGTGTGGTGCCAGTGAACTTAGGCAAGTGACAATGGTGCCTTCATCTAGCTAATGTCTCACCATTTTTTTCAGATACCATCAGTTACCATCATGGCTTGGATCAGTGAACACTATGCATTTCATAATGAAACCATTTTTTAAGACTGGTGAATCTGTAATTGCAATGCATAAAGTTTTTGTGACCATGTTACATTGTAATAATGCTGTTCCAAATAAAAAACTGATACTGACATGGCTTGAAAATTTGAGGGCCAGATGCTCAGCACTTAAAAGAAAGCCACCTGGAAGAACTTGAAGCACTCAAACTTTCAAGTGATCTAAAACTTTAGAAATCGTCTACAACAGTGTATGGTGAATACAGGCCACCATTTGGAGAATGTCATTTTAAAAATACAATGAATAAAAACTGTAGCTATTTTTTTAAACAACAGTAAAATATTTTTTTAATAGAAGTTACCTTGGTCTTTTCGTCAGCCTTTAAAATGTGGAAGATATTTCTGCTGCAACCTGTATCTGAAATTTCTTTCTTTCTTCACTTGCTTTCTCACACACAAATACATACATATAACAATGGCTAGCTGATTGTTATCATGTATACATGGTAACAAGATCCTAATCCCTAGACACCTGCTCAGGCACATTTGTCTTTTTTCAACACCCACAAAACCAACTTGTGGTTTATACTGCAACTGTACTGAAGGGACATTATTAACAATAGTTTCTGTGAGAAAGGTATCCTGGTATTATCAGCAACCAGTAGGCTCAAATGCTCAATCCTGGTGACTTGTGATTTTGTGCTTGTAGAAACATTAACAGCTTCCAAACAGTTTAATCGTCCCAATTTCACACACAAGGCTTAGGTCAACCTGTCATATGGTATACAGTCACTACTCAATGGTACCACAGGATTCTCTCCTCAGGTTGATATTGTCAAAAATCACCTCCTTGGTGAGATTAAAACCCAAATCTTGTGGTCAGAATGTGAACATTCTAACCACTTAGAGTATCTAGTATAATACCCGCTCAGACACATTTGTGTTTCTTTAACAACTACAAAGACAACCTGTGATTCATACAGCAAGTATATTGAACAGACATTCTGGTTTAGAATGCATAAGCTGGCATGATCAGTAGTTGATTAAGGTTAGAACACTTGAACCCTCAGTCACAATGACTTGTGAGCTCATGCTAGCACAACTATTGAAAGCTTCTGAACAGTGGTTTGAATGAATGGTTACAATACTAAAGGTCTGATCATACTAAAGTTCAAATCTCACCATGACTGATCTGTCAAATGACCTCTTTGAAAAAAATGGGCCTAGAGGAATGATCCTGGCACATCTCACCATTGAGAAGTACTTGAAAACTATACCACATGTTGACCCAAGCATTGTGAGTGAAATTGAATAGATGAAATAAATATGGGTATTGTGTAAGAGATAGCTGTGTACTTTCAAACGGTACCAGTAGTTGGTGTACTCTCAACATTCTAACCAGAATTTCAGGTTTTATCTTGGGTGAAAGACTGGTGCAACACAGCTTGAGGAATTCAAACCTTAAGACTGTTTTAAAATGCAGTGTTTGTGCAAAAAAAAAAAAAAAAATCTGTGTAAATTAAGATTTTGAATCACAAACAAATTAGACAGTTTCAATTTATAGTAGACATATTATTAAAACATATTCTATTAATTAATTCCAAACAAAATAAAAAGGCTACCTACTGAAAATTATTAATGATACAATATTCCTTCCAGGTGGATACAAATTTAATTAACTTATAACTTACAGAGAAAGTTACAATTTATCCAGCATTTAAAACATAAATCAAATTATTAATCTGTAAAGTTTTAGCTTTTAAACACTTATGGTTATTAAGTTATTATAGAGTTTATGCTCATCAATAACACAATTTAAAATAGAGCCTAGCATTTTTCTGTTAAAACATTAAGTTATATTTAAATAATTACCATATCTATATAAATATTATCATATATTATCATATATATATATATATATATATATATATATATATATATATATATATAATATAAATATTTATCATATTTAAACACTTATGGTTATTAAGCTATTATAGAGTTTATGCTCTTCAATTAACACAATTTAAAATAGAACCTAGCATTTTTCTGTTAAATATTCATGCACATTTTGAGTCTGCTACTATGTCCACATGACAGTCATAATTAAAAGGAAAACATATGGAGTAAGCAGTCAGTTAGGGAGAGTCCACTTGATAGTATGAGTAGTAGCCAGATGTAACAGTCCAAGTTGAAGTAGTAAGAAATCTTCCCATGTGTTGTCTATTTTCATAAGAGGAAAACTGGACTAAAAAAAAAAAAAAAATTTCTGGAGTATAAAAATTTTTGATTTGCACTTTATTTCTTCTTTTTCTTTGTTTTATCTTTGTGGACAAGTTGACTATTTTTACAATGCCAAATCCACCCCTACTTCAACCTTTCACAAAAACTTCAGAATTTTATCTTATTTCATTTTGGTCCTATACTCACTGAGATTAATCGTGCGTGTGTGTGCATACATGTTTCTTTGGACATAATTATTAGGGGGCAATGATATGTGTGCTTATGTCATAGTTTTGTTTAAGTTATATTTTAGAATACAGTTTAATTTTTTAAAGAAATTGTAGGATATTATATGGATTAATGTCAAGAATTATTTCTTTCATGTTGGTCATTTGATTGATTTTGTTTAGCAGCATATCAACCTCTATGGGTTATTTAATCCAGAATCAAGTAAATAGTTCTCAAATATAAACAACCAATATTTACCTGTCTCCAAACCAAGTAAATGCTTACAGGTTGAAACATAAACAACCAATATTTAGCTATCCCTGAACAAAATAAATGCTTACAGGCTCAAATAATTGAATAGCTAAGTTCCAATTCCAGTCAGGTTCATTATATTCACTTAAACATAAATACTTCTCCCTCCAACTATGGGTTAATTAGTAAGACTTGTATCACTAAACCATTATTATCTCCTACAAAAAATTCTAGCAATCTAAAAATATTTTCTAGCTTTAAATAATCTGCAAAAGGTTGATAAATCATAAAAAAGACAAATAAATCAATCAATAAAGGCTCAAATATAAACAACCAGTATTTACCTATCGTTGAACGAAGTAGATGCTTGTAGACACAAATATAATAATAATAAAAAAGACAATTTTGGGGTACGTTATAGCCACATCTCATTGAAACATTGTTTCCCATATGATTACCAAAATTAACCAACGTCAAGCCTGGTCAGTACCTAGATGGGTGAGTGTTTAGTAATATCAGGTACTATAAACTTGGATGTACAGGTGATGTAATGGATAATGGCTTGGAATTGTTAATCTGAGAGCCAAGTTCTAATTCTCATTGGGTTCATCATATTTACTTATACACTTCTTGGGAAAATATGAATCTACCTATTCTTCCATCAGCTTGGTTGGCAGCTGGTCTACTGCAAAAACAAACAGCAATATACTGCGGGCAAATCTTCTGCCTTGTCAGTCATGAATCAGAAGAGGCATGATCGCCCAAGAGAGTATCATGTATAGTACTTAACCAACTGACTGTTGCAGTAATGTTTTAAGTTAAAACATTAGTTTATCACTGAGTTTATTGCAGTGGCATTCATTCATTTTTTTTTATATCTTTTCTTTATTCCATATTCAAAAACTGATTTATATATTTCTGTCCAAAATAGAAGATACAACACTTTTATTTTGTCCTCTAAGTTCAATCATAAAAATTTATAACACATCTGTAATTCCTGTCTATTTCTTTTTAAATACTTTCCACACAATTTTTATTTTCTTGCTCTCTTTCGTTAATAATTTATCTTTTCATGAAGACATTTTTCAACTCCTTTGCACATTCTTCATTCACACAATTTTACTGATCAATTCTCAGTTACTCATTCTAATGACTTCCTTCTGTCTTTTTCTTTCATCATGCTTTTTTTGTTTCTCTTTTTCATTTCTTTTTCATTTCTCAGTTTTCGTTCTTTCATCTTTCTATTTTTTCTTTCTTTGTTACTTATTTCTCACACATTTGTTTCTCTTTCTCATTTCTTTGTTTTATTCCTATTTTCTTATATTTTTCTTTCCTTCATTTCTTACTATTTCTGCTTTGTTCATTTCTTTGTTTTTCTCTTCTTCATTTTCTCATTTGGTTTCTCTCTTTTTACTTCATTTTCTCTTTCTCTTTTCACTTTCTTAATCTTTACTGTCTCTCTCTTCCATATTTTATTCTGCTTCTCTCTCTCTCTCTCTCTCTCTCTCTCTCTCTCTCTTTCTCCTTCATTTCTTTATCTGTATCGTCATCACTTAATAATTAAAATATCTCTTTCTCATGAAATTTCACTCTTTTTCAATTCTTTCACCCACTCTCACTTCTATACTTTCTCTTTATTTTTGTTCTCTCTCTTTCTCTTTTCTTTATTTTTATTTCCTTCACTTTCTCAAAAAATCTCTCATCCAGTTTTTATTTTTCTTTTTTTCTCTTTATTTTTCTTTCTCTTTTATTTCTCTTTTCTCTTTTTCTTTTTTTTTTATTTCTCTTCACTTTCTCCTCAAAAAATTTTTTTCTCTTCTCATCCAGTTTTTATTTTTCACTTTTTTCTCCCCTTCTCATTTCTCTTCTTTCTCTTTATTTCTCTGTCTGTTCCTCTCTTTTTCACTTTTTTCTCCCCTTCTCATTTCTCTTCTTTCTCTTTATTTCTCTGTCTGTTCCTCTCTTTTTCACTTTTTCCCCTTTTTTCTCCTCTCTTTATTTCTCTGTTTTCCTCTACATTTTTTCTCTTTCATTTCACTTTCCTTTATTTCTTTTCCTCTCTGCTTCTCTCATTACTCTTTTATTACTCTGTTTTTTTCCTCTATGTTCCTCTCTGCCAATTCATTCTCTCCCTAAGCGATGATCACCTTCTTCCCCCATCACTGTTCAACCTGATCAACACACCTGTCTGATCACCTGGTCATCAAATTCAAATGAGGCTTACATTAAAAATGACTTGCTTATTTTCTTAATCTTTTTGCTTTATTTTATTCTTATTTTGCCAAAACACATCAATCCTTGCCCCTACCTCTACCAACAGTTCCATGTTTAAGCAAAAAGAAACATTTTTTCTTTTATTATTTTGAAATTTTTAAAATGCATAAAATATATGAGGGAGCACTGGAAAGTTCTTGGTTCAACCAAGAAGACCTTTTCTCCTGCAAAGAAAAAATCTGGTTGGTTTGTAAAATTTTGGTAAGTTAGCTATTTTTCAGCAACTCCTCATAGCGTCAGCCAATACATATACATATATTGTAAGAGCCACAATAAATTTGCATCCAGGCTCTTACAATATATCACCATTTGTGGTAGATTTTATATTGGTACAGTGTTGGGTAGTTAGGGACAAAGATGATGAAAAGAAAAAGAATACAGATGAATTTGGCTAGAATGAAAAAATATTCTTTCAAAAATTTTGAAACTGCCAGTATCTTTCGTTTTGTGTGCATGTGTAGACGTGACAATGTCAACAAAACCTAGTCTGATGAAACCATAACGGATGAAACGCATCACTAAAAAACCTTTCCAGTTTGTCATATTTTTTTAAATACTGTTTGTTTATATATAAAATTATACAAAATTATATATCCTTATATCATATATATATATATATATATGAAAATTTCTCAGGGTTAACCTGTAGAAAAGACAATATTTATAAATATAAATGACAATAGGAAAACTATTTATAATACATACATACATACATACATACATACATATGTATGTTTCTATTGATTACTAGTTGTATGAAATAAATGAGACACTTTTTTTTGCACAGAGTTTTTCCCTAAATCTCATTTATATCCAAAATTATAATTATCAATAGAATACCTTAGGGTGAGTAAACTTTTTTACTAGGTGGTCAGGAAGGGGTCTTTATATTAGTAAGATTAAAAATTAGTTTGACCCCCAAAACAATATGTAAAAAAAATCAGGTGAGTCACTTTTATCGAACAGCACTGTATATATATATATATATATATATATATATATATATATATTACAACTTTACTTGAGTCCCCCATCTGTAAGGTTCCACTTTCATATTTATATACACTTTGTCCCTGGTATTATGCAATTAACCCATAAATATAGCATACATTAAAACTATATATATATATACATACATACATATGTGTGTGTATAAGTATATATTTAATCATTTCACATCAAACAAGGCAATAAAACGTAAAAAGCATTAGGATGCAAGGGATTACTGAGAGTGAAAGAAACAGAGAGGACAATAAAAGAACGACATTCAAGGAGACAGGAATAATAGTTAAGCTCTACATTAATACTGCTTATTTTAAAAAAAAACAGATCATTTACTTAAATTGTATCTATTAAAATAACAAATAAACAGAAAAATATACATATATATAACTATGATATAATAAATAGTAACAACTTAAAATCTGGAGCAGGAATTTAATCTATAATCTGTAATGAGTGCAATGAGGATTATATAGGAGAAAACTCATGGAATTTAAATAAAAGATTATATGAACACAAATCAGATATTTAAAAAAAAAACAAAAAAAAACACACTCAATACATGAGTCACTCCCGGTAATGAATCTGACCATAATTTTGACTTAAGAAATGCTATTTTAATTAAAAGAGAAAACGAGGTAAAAATGTATAGAAAGTACACTGTTAAAACATCCACAGTAAATGCGTGTCCAGGTTCTTAAAACATTTCCTGTTATCACAATAAAAAAATAGGATAACCCTAAAAGTGACTCAAGTGTGTGTCAACACTGAAGAAAAAAAAAAAAAGAATTACAAACTTAAAAATTTCAACATGTAACTTTATATACATTATCAATAAATTTTATTTTTTTTACTAGATCTAATGCTACTTTTAAAAACACTAATTTAAAAAATCAACATTTTCAAAAATGATAATTTAAAAAAATTAACTTTTTTAAAAATAAATATGTTTATCTTTTTAAATATAACTTTATCTATCCATTTTTTGTTCTACTCTGTTAGTAATTAAATTATAAATACAGAAGAAAATCTGCCTCGGATTGGCAAAATTTGGCTTGCACAATGATACTATACAAGCAGCTTCTTATTTTCTCTTCTTTTTGATTTCCTTTTTTTACCATTCTTAACCCAAAATCAAACCTCAGCCTCAAAATATTTCAAGAAAATAATTCTACAGACAACTACATTAGATTCATATAGGTGAACGAAAAACTACAGGGGAGGTGAAGGTAAAATGGATTCCATGAAAGTTTACATTCTGCCTTAAGCAAGAAGGCTTCAGGGAAAATGGAATTCTACTTGACATAAGGAATTAGGATTCTGATTTTAATTCTTTGACTTTTAATAGTGGAAAATGGAGAAAAAGAAGACATTGGTACTGCATGGATTTAGGAAGTGTTTCTACTTCTCCCAGCTGCAAAATAAGAGACATTTTTAAATAAAGATAAAATTTTACTATTACTTTTTTTTTTTATTCAGAAACTCAATTTCACCTTTAAACTTGTTTGCTTTTCCTCATATCCTGTCAGTATCCAAATTTATTCTTGAGGGCTCAAGAATGTGTCATGATTTTAAGATTTGGGAATTTTTACACCCTTTTATCCGGAACAATAGGCATCCAGGTTTTTAAAGTTTTCAATCTCTTCTCAAGTAACGGATATATCCGGGGCTTTGGGAAAGAGAACGACTTCCTCTACAAACAATGGCAAGACTTAACAAAGAATCCAACACTAACAAGAACAAGCAGAAAATAGGAGAGGAAAATATTCTGATAATGACAAAAGAAATGAAAGTGAAGTTACTATGTTGAGCAGAAAGTTGGGGGGGTGGTAAGAACCAATGTCTGCCTGGAGAAGAACTCATCAAAATGGTATTAAAGCATAATGTCATCTCTGGATGTTGTCACCTGATGGATGACCGTTTTTTCTCCCACTTCAATTTCTGCTTAAGTGCCTTCCAGATTGTGGATTCATGTGTCAATAAATACAAAATAAGATCTACACAAAAAGGTACCGAAAGCAATTACAATGCTTTTGTAAATTGATTATTTGCTTGTGTTATTTACTATAGGATATGAAAGTAGCATGGTGGGGTAATGGGTAGCAGCTCAGGTTACGTAATCAGAGAGCCAAGTTCAAATTTCAGTCAAGTTTGTTTCATCTCTTCTTCCCCCAGCTATGGTTAAATAGTAGAATAGATGAAGCATCTGGTTAGCAAGGTTAAATTACTGTTTTTGAACTACAAAATCAGACACTTCCTCTTTAGCTAAATAAATTGTCAGGCTATCGGGTGGTTCCATGTAGGAAACAGGTTCAATTCCTGTCGGAGGAAACATATTTTCTTTGAGATTTCTCAGATATTCAGGTTGGTAAATGTTGTTAATACTGTTTATAATAAACAGAGTATTTACTTAAATATTTGTATCTATAAAAATAACATACAAACAAAAAATATATTAAAATAATTGTCGGACTTAGTCCATTTCAATATATATATATATATATATAATTCATTCGAAAATTATAACATAAACATGTTATAAAATCACTACAAAAATAGGCATTTTGTTTCAACACTTCTAGGTGTTTTATCAAGTGATGGTTATGAATGTATATTTGCTCTACTCTGTATTGAGCACTCTTTTAAGAATAGTATTTTTGGTTATTGGATTTTATTCCGTATACACCAATCCTAAACTTGGTTATATATATATATATATATATATATATATATATATTGTGCATTTGGGGAGCAATGTCTCTTTTGTTGAAAATGACTGACAAGGTGCTATCCTTAAGTTTTTTATATAATTTTTTTTATGTGTTCAAACAATTTTCCTCTTTTCAGGACATGAAATTTACCAATTTTTTCCAAGTTCTTTCAGCTATACTTTTAGCCATTATCAATATGCTGACTGTGTTTGGAAAATAAAACATTCCTATAACTCTAGATATATACATAAAACAATCCATATATTCAGTTAAAAATGAAATAAAATTCATCCTTGATAATGTCTGAAAGTATAGCTGAAAGCGCTTGAAAAACATTCGTACAATTTTTATAAAATTTATGTCCTGAAAGGGGGAAAATTGTAGAAACACATGAGAAATTATATAAAAAAGATCAACCACAGCACCTTGTCAGTCATTTTCAATGAAGCTTATCTGAATAAATACACTGGAATAACATTAATGACATTACAGCTTATTTCTCTTTATCTCCTCATAAATATTCATATTTGTCCATTTTAATCACAATGTTACTTTGTCTCTATTTCCAATTATATGCCAAACATAATTTGTTGCTATCTCAGCCTATCCCTGCATCTATCCACCACTCTGTCTGTTAGTATCTAACAATGACAACCTGTTTATATCTTCTGATTTTAGTCTATATCTACCTTACCTTGTCTCAATTATTATATATCTAAGCTAGCTCATGTCTATATTAGCCTGCTTATATATAAACATATATGTCTTCAATATTTACATTATTCGGACTATTGTCCTCATCTTTGTTGCCATATTTATTACAGCGTTTCGGCCATTGTATGCTCCGGCCTTCTTCAGGTGGTTGGAATGTCGAACTGAACCCTTTATTTAAGCTCACTGGGGTAGACTGTTTCTAGTTCCACGTGCCATGTTTGATGGATGTCAGTTATCATTTTATCTCCTGTTAATTTCCCTCTGAAGTTCGCACTGCCTTAACCGGGTATTGAAGTCACTCTTTGCATCCTGTCACTTGATTTAACCAACGCCTTTATCCACTGTGCCATGTGTCCTGAGGGCACATGGCACAGTGGATAAAAGGCGCCCTTAAGGCAGTGGAGAACTTTCAGAGGTGAATTAACAAGAGATAACTGATAACTGACATCCATCAAACATGGTATGTGGAACTAGAACAGTCTACCACAGTG